CTTAAAGTTGAAGTCTTTCCGATGCAGGCCTAAGTAAAATGGCCGTAGGGCCTCCAGGTTGCGGTGACGCGACCTGGGGGCCCTTATCCAACCTCGGGTCCCGTGAGGGGCCCGTGTGGAGGCTCTCAGCATGTAACAGCCTCGCATCATCTGGGCATGTGTCCAGAGAAGAGAATAGACGAGTGTTGCCCCATCTGGAAATCGGGAGTACCTTTATGTGTGTTTTCGAATCTCTGTGATCGTTTGATTGCGTACTTTGCATGGCCTTGTTTGTCTTGTGTGCCGAACTACGACTGCTGCACTTTCTGGGATATTTGTTGAACGATTTCCTTTTCGAATTTGGCAGGTCTGCCTTCTGTGTAGGATGAAGGGCCATACAGTGAAGATGTGTCCGCGTGCTGCCGACGAAGGAGAGGACAAGGGTGTAGCCACAAAAATATGTTATAACTGTGGAAAGAACAGCCATCGACTCGCAGATTGTCCAGAGCCAATTGCAGAGAGTAAGTGCATCGCTCTGAATCTCTCTTTCGTTACCAACCATTGTCTTGTTCTTATTCCATTAGATTGTCCCACATGCTCTACCTGCAGACAGGCCTCTTCTTCATGTTTTGTTTCATCTTCATGTTTTGTTTCATTGCCGACTTGTTCTTCCGACGGAGCAGCCGGCTGGATTACGTATCTGCGCCATCTCTGGGAGACCGATAACCTGTGCTTTGCATGTTTGGGGTATTTTGGGTTTTAGGTTGCTGGTCTGGTTTAGGGATTAAAGGTTTCAGGTTGTTGGTCCAGTTAAGGGTTTTAGGGTTTAGGCGTTGAGGTGCTTGGCTAGGATCATTCTCCCTTGAAAACCTCGATTCCTTGAGAGAGGGAGGTGGGTGGAGAAGTGATGTGCACTGGAAGCCTCTCCGCTCTTAAGGTAAATTGACTCGCTGCTACATTCATGCAAAAGTCGGGATGATGATAGCCTGATTCAGCATGAAGCAGCATGAATGTGACTATCATCCATTTTTACTCATCTGATTCCATCGGAATTCAAACTCAAGGTCTGTGTTTCAACAGGTCCTGGGTGTACCAACTGAGCTAGGCCAGTAGGTATGTGATTATAATCCAAGTACTGCCGATTACCATCTTTACGGGCTGATTAGCACACATTATGCAGTGTGACCAGTGACTGCTGGTTAACATTGTATCTGCATGGCCGAGTCCTATATACTGAACCTGGGACAGTCTGCAGTCCTATCTATTGGAGCTGGAACAGTCCGGAATGCGACAAGGAGGACCATGTTGAATCTGTCTTACCAGCAGCAAAAAGAGATAACAACAAAAACAATAAACTGTTTGTAGTTACCTCGGATTTGGGCCAGGTGCTGGGTTCGAATCCCACCTGAGCCCAACCGTTGCAGCATAGCCGGGGCTGGCCTCTACTTGTATAGCAGTTAAGTTAAGAAGACTATTTCACTTAAACAAATTGCATGGTACTTCTTGTGCTGTCAATGATTGTTTTCTGGTGTACTACTGAGATCCAACTTTGTTAAGCTCAAGCTCAAGCTCTGCACTGTTTGTCATTCAAACTGATGCTGTCTGTTCTCCAGAATTTACTGTTCAGTGGTCAACTTCACAGTTGAGGCAGTGGAGCCCAACCTCTGCGCTGTTCGCCGATTCACCGTGATCCTTCTCTGTTTCTGTTGCCGTTCATTGCCACGCTGGTTCTCTGGCCATGCGCAAGCCAACTCCAGGAAAAGAAACTTGGCTGTGAGAGGTAAAAAGCTTGGCTGTGAGTGGTAAAAAGCTTGGCTGTGAGAGGTTAAAAGCCTGGCTGTGAGAGGTAGAAAGCTTATACTTCTTCAATGCGACAATTTCACACACTTTGAAACATTTTTCGAGGACATGAATGATCAATTTGCGAGTGCAAAGCTGCAAACCGTTTTTTCGCAGACATGAATTGTCTTTCTTTTTTTTTTTCTTTTTTTTTTGCCTTGTCAAGTTCAGTGTTCACTCACTCTGCAACATTGAAATGGAGAGAAAATACAAGTAAGGAGGGAGACAGACATTGATGTGATCATCTCTGGTAAGTACATCATTGAGAAGTTAACACACTTAAAACACCAGTTCACCGGAAGCTAAGTCAAGCTCTTACCGGTTTATGCGGTAAGACCATGACGCTTCGGGCCCGGGAGGGTAGTGAATGCGGAAGGCCACTATGGGAGGAAAAAAAAAACCCAGTTAAGAGGCTCGCGAGCCTTGGAATGTAGCTTCAAAACTTCGGCTCGTGTGAACTGGTGGTTTAATGTATGAGAAGTAGCACTCACTGTAGCAGCACGTAGCAATTACTTGTGCTACTTCGTGCTACTTTGTGCTACAATGAATGTACGTATGTGAAAGCGAACATGGTGCACGCTGGGGTAATATGAAAAGACAGAGTTGCAAAGCTTGTGAGATTTCGGGGCAAGGTAGAACTTTGGACTTTGTGAAACTGATTGGTGCGGTGACAAATTCAAAAATTGGTACAAGGAATTTGAAAACCGGTGCTGGAAATTGAGCAGCTACGCCAATTTTGGATGAAGTGGCATGAAAATGTGGCGGCTTACCACACCATTGGTACCCCGTCAGTGCGAAAGTACAGCAGCATATCACAAAATTGTTGCCCCGAAGGAGTATCTTGTCTTGTTCTAACAATCTTTTTCTTTTTTGTGTGTGTGGTCACTTTGGGGTTTTGTACAGGTGGTGGCTTGAAGTTTGCAGTCTGCTTCATTTGTAAAGCCTCGGGGCATTTGAGTGCCAACTGTCCATCCAACCACCATGGGATCTATCCGAAGGTCAGTTACGCAAAGACCAATACTCTCTCTCTCTCTCTCTCTGTCTCTCTCTCTCTCTCTCTCACACACACACACACACACACACACACACACACACACACACACACACACAAGCCTCTGCCGCGAAAACTGCGGCCCTTTGTCCTCTACTCATCCCTCCCATACTTGCCGAGTATGCTGTCGTGGCCTTGGCATGCCATGCCTAAAGAGCTGCAGATATCAGCCTGCCGCAACATGCCATGTGTTGTCAATGTTTCGAGGAAGCTGTCAAAGAAAGTATGTGTCTGTGCTGCATGGACTATCCCCGATGCCATCATCGACCGATGACCACACCCTCTCTTAGCATGTCCCACATGCAATGTTGGGCATACACCTGCTGCAATCACAATCAGATCTCCTTCATCCTTGCCAGACCACCAAGAGATGCAGCAGCCTGAGGAGGAAATTAGACTACCTTGTGAACAACGTACGGCACACTGTACTGAAAGGTTATCACCACCAACGCGAGTAGTTGCAGACCAAATCCTGCAGCAGCTAAACACCCGGGCTTTGGATCAATCCCCGTCGTCGTCTGCCCGTAGAGAAGGAATAAATACTGGGGAAACCATATGAAACCGTCTGTAATGACTCACCTGAGATTCGGCTAGCATGTGGTTTACATGGCTTATGCCCGTGATGATTATAAAGGCATAGCCCCATGCGAGACAGTCAATACTGCACTCATGTACGACACCCTGACATGTCATGTCCAACTTGTAGACGGGCTGGAACGGCAATGCCTCTACAATTGCGGTCAGCGTGCCTCTGTGTTCCTAGCATGTAGGAGCCATGTGGCCTGTGACATCTGTCTACGCCGTGCCATTCGATGCAGCAACTGCAACTGCGAGAATTGGATGTGGTGCTTCCTTTTTTTTTTTTTTCTGTGGTGCTTCCACCGTCCACACAATTCAAATCTTATGCAACCCAAACACTGACTGGCCTCATATACCATTCATTCTAGAGTAGTCTGCTCCGGCGGTGAGTATTAAGAACCCTGTGCGAACTCCACCCCCTATTTCCTTCCTCCTTCCTCTTGTGTAATACTAGTAAATGCATAGGAATGAGCATTATTGACTGACATTAAGAGAACAGACAAGATATAAGCTGAAGATCTGAGGAAAAATGAACAGGAATATACCTCCGCCTTTCCTCTGTCTCCTTTCGTAGTGTGCAAGTGGGCCGTTATGGCACACAGGGACAGGGCAGCTCGAACTTGACCGCAATCAATGTGGCGACCCTTGTACATGAGGGGCACAGTAAAAGGGGAGCTGCAAAAACAAATGAAATGGGGTACCTGAAAAAAGCCAAAGTGAACACAGTTGAGAAAGGGATTTAAACACTTCTATTATGCTCCGTGTTGCTTGCTATAGAGGTAAACCTATTTCATTGTTGGATTGTCTCCACTCAAGTGTTTTCCTTGTCTGCAATAGGACTAAAGCTGCTTCGATTTTGGAAAAATACTCATCTGAGTGGAATAGGGGCTGTTGTGGTCAATGCACACACACACACACACACACACACACACACACACACACACACACACACACACACACACACACGCACGCACGCACGCACGCACGCACGCACGTGTTGTTCGCTGGACAGAAGAAGAGCACAGTGCCGTCTGCCCAGAGGACGACAGCGCTGCGCCTGGGGTGAACATAGAAGTCCTGGCTATGGCATTTATGGGTAGGCGACTGCAATTCCAGCCTGCTCCGCAAAACCACGAACCAGGCACGGATCAAAATATTCGGGCATATATCTTATATCGTCCAGGTCACTTCAATGCTCTTACCTTTGCAGATAATTCATGGACCCTATGGGACAATGGCGGTAGGGTGCACACAGTGGGAAATATTAACTCTTTCTATCACCAAATGCTGGAGGGTCACTCAGTCTGGCTCATCCATCAGGAACAGTTTGTCGATGAGCATTTGCAAGCACTGCACCCCCCGGAGAGCAATCCGGCTGATTCTACCACAAACAGTGAAAGGACCTCTCCACAGGATGATGGCTGTGCCCTCCCGTTGTGTCGTCGCACAGGTGCAGTTCGGTTGGCATGTACACGACATAGCCTATGCTCCGAACACTATGAAGGGATGGTCGCTGCTAGCCTCTCACACAAAAATTGTGATCCCCTGTCCTGTGCTCATCCCCCCCACCCCCTGATT